TGCGGGCAGGGCGGCCCCCAGCGAGCGAGCAGGGCTGGGAGGGCCGGGCCACGGCCTGGCCGCGGCTCCTGGTCCGGAGAGGCCGAGGAACAGGAATGTGTGTGACGCGGCTGGGTTAGAGCCTGCGGTGCCTAGGGGGAGCACTCAGAAAAGTAAGTTTCCTCTAGCAGAGAACGGGGCTTACACAGATCCGAGCAAGAGCTCCTTACTCAAAAGGACTGTTCTCCCAGGACTAATTGGGAAAAACAGTAACGACTTTGGTGTTGTAAGGCTTTTGGAGGGGAAAGTATTTTTGGAAGGGAAACGATTTTGGCAAAGGATAAAAGATTGTGTGTGTTAACTTTTTCAGAGAATAAAAAGATCTGGAAGGAAAAAAAAAACAGGGAAACATTTTGGGCAGACTTTTTTGGAAGCATTTTTTTGACGGAATTCTTGATGGAAAATGTTTTGGGAGGAATTTTCTGTGGGGGTGTTGAAAGGGAATTATTTTGGTAGGGGAAGTTATTTGGGTTTTTTTTTTTTTTTTTGAGAATTAGGTTTAAGAAAAAAAACTCCTGATGATTGCCTATATGTGTCTCCCACTGGTGCTGACCAGCTGTATGAAAGAAATAGGCCAGCAAAAGAAGCCTAAAGGGAAAGTCTCTTTGTCTGTAGGTCATAGGGTTGTAATACTCAGCAGGTGGTGCCTTCCACTCATTCCAAGGACTTTTGGCAGTCTGAATACCGCCCACCCGCACACCTATCCTAAGCCTACCTATCGTAGAATACTTAAAGTTGGAAGGGACCTTTAGATATCATTCAGTCCAACCCCCCTGCACACGCAGGGTCACCTAGAGCACGTGGCACAGGACTGCGCCCAAGCAGATATTGAATATCTCCAGAGAAGGAGATATTCAATATCTGTTCAGGTGCTCTATCACCATCACTGTCAAGAAACTTTTTCCTTAAGTTCCTGTGGAACTTTTGGTGCTTCAGTTTCCTGCCATTTCCTCTAGTTCTGTCGGTGG